ACACCCAATTATTCTTTTGTCATTGTATAAACTAGTCGAATAGTATACAAAGGAGGAGATACATGCATCAGAGATGAAATCGGTCTACTTTTTCTCGGACCGGACCGCCCGGTAGATCGGTAAAAACCGGTCTGACCGGTCTAAACCGGTCTACCGGTCAAAACCAGCCTACCGGTACTAAACAGGATGCTGATAATACGCCAGTTTATCGGAGAAAATTCGACCTACTGTCAAAATATCGGTCTACAGACAACAGGCTGAGGCTTGAAATGGAACTTTGTTTCATGGTGAACTCTCTTGCGGGCTACCTTCGTAGCTTTACGTATAATGGCATAATGCTTTACCGTTGATAACAATAGTCTCACTGATGGGCATTCTGAAAACTATATGTTAAATAAATTCGTGTGTGATCAGTGAGACTAGTCTTAGTTTCAGTTGTTTGTTCATGTGAATACCATCAAAGAGCAGGAAAGTGAAAAATTTAGACCGGTACAAGGCGGTTTCGACGGGTGAGACCAGTTTAGACCGGTTCAGATCGGTTCAGATCGGTCAGACCGGTTTAGACCAGTAAGACCGGTAAATACCGGTAGACCGGCCGATCTAAAATCCAGACCGGTATCAGACCGGGCGGTTACCGGTAGCGGTTCCAGCTCTGACATGCGTAACTAATGAAACCCAAAGCGAACTAACTTGTTTACGATCCTACATCGTTAACTTCATTTTCTAAGGAATAACGTCCGTTGCACAGCTCTTAGATCAAGGTGATTTTCTTTTTCATCTTATGCAAAATAAGTATATACTTCAGGCCTCTCGTTCCTTCAAGAAAAGTAACAAATCATATCTATTTCAATTTTGAAAACTGTTCATTGCATATTATGTTTTATGTAATATAATTATCACAATCATTTTCATCTTATCTTTGATAGGTATGGGATTCATGCTGTGCATGTCTGGGCTCATTTGGTATCATATCAAAGCAATTACTACATGAATGTCAACGAATAGATTGTGGTTATCAATACTGCAATACATGTGTTGAGTCAATTAAAAATTGTAACAGTAATATAAACAGACAATTTTATTGTATGTATTGTAATCATTCATCTACAGAAGGTCCACAACAAAATAAGTTTTTAATAAATTTATTATGGGAACACTTTTATGAAAAAGATGGTGTTGATTTATTATCTACAATAGATATTATGCCAGGAACATTGTCAAATGATATTTCATGTCGAATAGCTCATATTCAATGTTAAGTAGAAACTTTAAAACAAAGAAAATCTATTGTGTCTTCAATTCCTGGAGATATACAGTTCGTAATCGGCCGTGGTATTAAATTACTCAACAGTTTAAAAGAAGTGAGAAATGTATCCGACGAAATAAAGGCAAAAGATGATAGCGATAGTGATTTAAAAATTTGTTGGAAGAAATATATAAGTCTGTTAAATGGAAACGATGATGCCAAGAGAGAATGTGAATGTTTTATTGAAATATGCGAAACATTGTTATATTACATTGAAAAAGCTGAATTTGAAAATTATTTTCCGTCCTTAAACCAATTGATGAACACTTGGGAACGTTTATTAGTGGAAAAAAATAGATTTGAACCGAAAGTCATTCAAGTTTTTAAATCGTTTGAAAGCGATCTGAAAGGTATTGTTCTTCCAACTATACCATACAGGATAGGCTTTATTGGCGAAACAAGTGTAGGCAAAACTTCACTATTGATTCATCTAAGAAAAATTGATTATTATGACACAGATAATTCGAAAACAGAAATAGCTACAAACAGCAGAATTCTTTCTCCCGTTCGTGTCGGTAAAAGTACATTATGTCAACTCGAATTCTACCATCAGTATACTGATGGAACAGATGTTATCTTTGTTGATATTGAAGGATCAACTGATTATGACACTGATCTAGAGTCAGGAAATTATTTTGATGAAATACGAAAAGCAGATTGCGATTTATATATATTGGTATTTGATAACAGATTTGCCGATATGCATAAAAATTGGCATAATTATATTGTAAAGAAATTAAACCGTGAATGTTGGTTAGTATGAAATAAAATTGATGATTTATTTCTTCGAACATTTAAAGAAGATGTTGGCCAAGAGTTCCATTCAACTAGTGAAGCAAAACGAAATCGATATGCGGAAAGAATAATTAAACGAGTTCGAGAATCTGTTAGCTCAGGTACTAATGGAATAAAATTATATTTAACATGTAGTTCTTATGATACGGATGGTTTTAATGAAAACCTATCGAAAGAACCTTATGGAAAATTCGATCTTGAAAAACTATCTGATGATATCAAAAATTTGCCACACAATTTTCATGCGAACCGTCTGCAAAAAATGTGTGTGACTGCAACTGCTAAAATTATCAATAGCTGTTTTCGTCGTGGTTATGTTGTCAATGTTATGAAATATAAAATATATGCTGGAGTAGCTGCTGTCATACCATTTGCTGATTTAATACCCAGATATTTAGAACGCGAAGCAATTCGTCAGGCCTTTGGAATCAACAGCCGTTCACGTTTCATGGTTTGGTGGACAGGTCTAAAAGATGAATTGAAAGAATATTTGGGGAACTTTAACATTGAAGTTGATAAGGATAGTTTGACAACATCAGCGTTCAAAAACACATTTCAATTACGAAGTCCTGCAATTGAAACTAACATAAACGCTGGAACATTCATTGTCAGTAGACCTGCGGCAGCTGTTGGCATTGCTGGTGTTGCCATTTCTGATGATGTTCTTAGACTCAGTGGAGTGGGTGCAATTAATGCTGTTCGTGGTTTATCTATTTCTCTCATTGTTGTCGATGTAGCTCTTACAGCGACTATGTGTGCTTGGTCAGCAGTATCTAATGGCAAACAAATGTATAATTATTTAAATCGACTATGTGACGATATTATACTTATTAGTGAACCCCTGGCATTGAGAATTTTGAACGGTAACGATGACCTAAGTGAAAGCTTTCTAATTGTAAATGAATAAAATTCTCTTTTGTAATATTGATGTTACATAGTTTTATCTTATTGAAGATAATTACTTTTATCGCTTTATAATCAGAAAAAATGCATTATAATAGATTTTCAAGAGTGGAAGATTATAAGCTCCCATGTCACAAAAATCGGACCACTTTTAATGGTAAATGGTGGTTTACAGGCAAAAGCCACCGGTGAACCGCATTTTATCATGAAAAAAACACCAACTATCCGGTAAGAAGCCGGTAAAGAAGTGGGTGTGTAGAACTGCCATTATATCGACATTTCATCTGAGCAACGAGAATCTTGAGGGTGTGGATATGAGAAGGCAAGATTAAACCGCACAATTACATCCCACCACACTCACATACCCACACCTCAAAGTCATTGCTTACCAATAAAAATACTATCAATTAACTTGTTAATCTAGTTAAACAAGAGAAGACTATTATTATTGAAATCAGCATAAAAAATTGCTTTTAATAGAATATATATGGTAGTGTTTTCCCTAGACTGAAAGGCTAGCGTCTAGAAACGGAAATTCACCTGTGTCTGTCTGTAACACTTGGTACAAGTGACCATTTTCGTGGTACAAAGTACCATAGTCGTGTTACAGCTGACCATTTTCATAGTACAAAAGTACCGCTTTGGTGGTACAGGGGACCATTTATTTGACACAATTGGCCATTTTCATTATACAGATGACCGTTTGTATGGCTCAATTCAATATTTTCACGGCACAATCAATCATTCCTATGGCATAGTTGACCAATCTTAATGCTCAAATGATCATGTCTGTGTCACAACTGGCCATGTCCGTATTAGAAATGACGATTACTTTGACATAAATCAGCATGTTAGTCGTTATCATTAACTAAAGCATAAACTTTTTCATATACATTAGCATCTTTTAATATTTTTGTGAACTATTTGAATACATGTATAGTATGTAATATAGAAGATGTTACAAATATTAATAATTTCTCCTAAACTCATCATCATACAGAATTCATTTTTATTTAAAAATATAAGGACATCTTTGTCATCATTTCGTCAGTCTAGGGCCAAGTGAATCGACATTCAATGTCGATGAACGTTACTTGTTGAATATTGATCTTCGTTATTTTAGACAGAATCGTATTGGTCAATCATCAGGAGAGAACAACAGCTTTCGATATTATCTTTGATATAATATCGTTCTTGTGCGCATCTCTTTTATACTATTCATCGCCCTCGAGTAGATTCTTTTCAAAAAAGATCCTGATTCGGTAGTTTGAGATCCGGTTTTAAACATCCCTGTGAATTATTATAATAAAAAACAAGGCCTTATATTTTTACTATCAATTACCAAGTTTGAACTAAATGATAAATGCATTAGTGAAATTGAAAGTATATCCATAGATCTAATATCTGTGAACATAGAATTAGAATGCTTATGTTAAGAATAAAAGGTTTAATTGAAATTTTTTGTTCAAGTCGACTCAAATGAAAAGCATGAAAATGTTTTATCTTGAAAGTTATCGGAAAACTTTTGAAAAACAGTTTTTCCTATAACACTGAGATATTGATCACATTTATTCATACGATCATTAAACTAAGCATTGTCGAACTAAATTCTTCTTTGCACAATTCATCATCGTTTTCAAGGCATGCTGACAATATTTATCGATAAAATCATTCAGGGTGTGGGCGTGGCTGTGGGTGGGCGTGGGTGTGGCTGTGGCTGTGGCTGTGGGTATGGCTGTGGCTGTGGGTGGGTGTGGCTGTGGCTGTGGGTGGGTGTGGCTGTGGCTGTGGGTATGGCTGTGGGTGTGGGTGTCGGTCTAGTTGTCGCAGTGTACTCTTTCTCTTTAGCTATAGCCATACCCACACCCACCCACACCCACACCCACACCCACACCCACACCCCACACCCACGCTCACAGCCACCCACACCTACACCCACACCCACACCCACACCCACACCCACACCCACCCCATCCACACCCTCTCATAAGAAGGCCACCGATCGGACAACGATGTTATCCTTCCTATTAGTTAGATTGAAGAAAAACAATTCTTTTTTTTAATTTTGTGTCAAGAATTACTTGAAGAGAACGCAGATAAAAAGCTTTACAGGAGCACATTGGGGATTTACTTTTCCAAATCAATTTATTTCCAATATCTCAAAACCAAAATCAAAATATGTCAATATCAAAATCAAGAATCAAAACTAAAACTTCAAAAGCAGTCTTGATTTTGGTGCATGTCTAATTTACACTTTAAGTTCGAAACCTTTCTTTGTTCGCTCAATGCGTCGAAGTTTCTCTTTTCCTTTCTCAGACAAATTACACCGTTCAAGGTTAAGATATGTCAATGACGAATTACGGTTGAGCATTTCAAGGAGAAAGTCGATACTCGAGTCACTGATTAACATATTGTCGGATAGATGAAGATCTTTGAGAGTGTTGTTATAATAAGAAAGGGTATTGGCCAATTGTTCAACTCCTCGATCACTTATTTTATCGTGGCCGAGTAGCAGACTATATAACCTCCTATTTGTCTTAAGCATTTCAGCAAGATATTCTGCACCTTCATCTGTTATACCAGTATATTGAAGATACAAAAGCGACAGTTTAGAATTGTTGAGAGAGAGTATCTTTGTTAGCCTATGAATACCTTCGTCACATAAATGATTGTCGGTAAGACGCAAATCTTCTAAAATAGTGTTGTTGTTCAGTGCATTGGCAATGATCGATGCACCAATTGATGTGATTTTGTTCCTAGTTAAGTTGAGTTTCTTGCACTGTTTATTGATAATAGCTTCTTTCACAACAGTCTTCATATCTTCATCATTCAAATTCTGTTTCACTAAATTCAGTTCTGATTGTGATTGGCATTGTTTAATAAGATGTTGAAGTTTTTCATCCTGATAATTATTTGTAGAAGATGATTGAATTTCTTTGATTTGATTGGTAATAGATGAAGATGTTTGCGGAATATGAATAAGAGAAAAAGGTGGTTGAATTTCTTTCACATGAATAATTTTCAGTTGATTTCCTGAATTAAATGAAGAAATAACCTGAAATTGTCGCGCTGGATACATTAGGACTTCATTTTCACTTGGATAAAATGAATATTTAGATATATCTTTAGCTGAATCACATTCTATATTAAATATAGTTCGAGGTCCCGTTTGACCAAGAAATTGTTCTAAAACTTTGATTGATGATGAACAAGATGAGAATGCCCACCAAATAAATGTTTTCCCTTCTGGAAAATCTTCGCTAAGATCCATCTTAATTCCACGGTAGAGAATTCGATGTATTATTGATGGAAGTTTGGAAAGAGCATAGATAAAAAGACGAAGATATAAAAACCAAGGTAATAGTTCTTGTCGATTTTGTGATCGAAGAGTTTCATTCAAAATAAAATAAAAAGAAGATTCTCGTGGCGTCCATTCTAGTGTATATAACATGATAGATGCTGATTCATCAGGTAAAAGATGATCATGTGGATGTTGACAATTTTGTTTGACTGTCCAAATCATTTGTTCAACATCAGGCACAAATGAAAGAAGAGGTTGAATAGCTTTTTCAAGAGAGACAACTGGTTGTTTTTCATAATTCTTGATAGGTGGAAGCATTCGTTTAGGTTCTGAAGTTAAATCATACACTCGATGCATCACTTTTGGTTCATCAGCCGGTTTTGCTGCCATATTGAGAAAATAATCTTAAATAAAAGAAAAGATTTTTGTTAAGACAAAGACAAGGTAAAGAAATAAACTTGATTTGAGAGAAAATAATAATAAATGTATAATGTAAAATGTGAAAAAGAACATTTTTATTGGTTTGAATAGTTAAAAATCGATGAAGAAACATCTTTTTTTGGTATAGATGATAATGTGCTAGGGATGCACCGATTCCAGAGAATTGACCACAAAGATGCCATTTTTGCGATATGAAGAATCACCAATTCCGACCAATTTTTTGTGTTAAACCTGACCACCTTGAATCGCTCTACCTGTAGTGATTGCCAGATTGCACTAAATACGATTAAAAGATGTCAGAATTGGTCGGAATTGGCTAAAAATCCTGAATTTTCGACCAACTCCGACCAATTCTGTCATCGATTGATTGTATTTAGTGAAATCCGGCAACCACTATAGCTAGAGAGATTGAAGGCGGTCAAGTTTAGCACAAAAAATTGGTCGGAATTGGTGGTTCTTCATATCTCGCAAAAATAGCATCTTTGAGAACACTTTTCTGGAATTGGTGCATCCCTAAAATGTGCGATGTATTTCTAATTTTCTCTGTATTAAATGAAAAAATATGGCAATTTTTGTTGTTTTATTCAATATTTTGATCAAAGGTAAATAAATATAAAGTAATTATTTGCTAAATACTCACAAAAGATGATTTGAATTGTTTTCGAAAAATCAGAGAATAAAATTTGTTGAAAGAATATTTTATTGTTCCGAAGAATGAAGCGAAAATTCAAGTTTATATAAAAATGAAAATTGCACCACTATTTTGAAACTGACTTTTTTTTATTGAGATTGTTGAATAAACTTTTCTGTTTAATTTTTTTCTTTGTTAAAGGTTTGTTTTTTTTCGAAGAGAAAAAAATACGAAGAAAAGCATTCTGTTTGTATTTGTTTCGAAAAAGTTTGAGTTGATAAACTCGATGAAGAAGATTTTTTTTGTTTTCGATAAAACGACAAAACAGTCCAAGTATGCAATATGTCAATTGATTGAAAGAATTTTTTTGTTCTTTCTTTTCATTAAGAAGATGATGAAATTTATGCAATGAAAATAGAAAGAAAGAAAAATGTTTTCTTTAGTATTGAAGCACATTGAAATGTTTCATTGATAGAAATGGAACAGATGAGAGATTTCGTAAACAAAAAAATTAAATCTAAATAAATTTCTCATTATTTTTCGAATGAGTTCAAAATTCGTTTGATTTTATATTTAACCATCATGTTGCCACCTGGGGTCCGCACGGACCCCGGCGAATTCATTTTGTTGTTATGTTTGAATAACACTAGATGAAAAACTCGTCCTTTTATATATGCTTTAGTGAATGTTAGTAGAATATACTGATAACATCAATAAATCAAATTCAGGGATTATTGATGTGATGCAGTACTTCAAAATGCAACTGAACGGTTCTTCACCAGCTGGGGCCCGTACGGACCCCAGCCAGTTTCTTTTCTAAATTTATACTTGTTTAACAACCGATTGAACCTTCGTCTTTTAAATATGCATCAGCGAAGGGTAATAGATTACCTACATTATATCGGCAAACACTTTCATTCGTTGTCGGTTGGATACAGTGACTGGAAGTGCTCATGAGAGCTGCTCTTGCGATATATGTTTTGAAATGTTATGTAGGAAGGAAAATAATAGAAGACTGACAAAGATTGAATAAGTATGAATCAAATCATTTAGTTTTCTGCTTCTTCTTCTTGTAATAAAGTCTGCTGTATATGCTTCACATGTTTATTAAACCAACCATCATTTTGTACATTATTGTTGTTTTTTTTCAGCCAGGGATCCGTACGGACTTCAGGTGGGAACCTAGGGTGTGGGTGCGGGTGTGGGTGGGCGTGGGCGTGGGTGTGGGGTGTGTGGGATGTGGGTGGGTGTGGGTGTGGGTGTGTGGGATGTGGTAGGTGTGGGTGAAGAAAAGATCACTACCCTGAGACACATCCCCACACCCACACCCGCACCCATCCACACCCACACCCACACCCACACCCACACACACCCACACCCACACACACCCACACCCCACACCCACCCACACTCACACCCACCCTGATTTTTAGATAAGAAGTTCTTCTTACTATGTGTAGAATTTCAATGAAAATATTTCACTTCTTACTTTTTAATTATGAAATGGAATCATTCTATTTGTTTTTTTGGCGCTAGGACAATTCGTCGCGGACTATTCGTCGCAGACTATTTGTCGCACGGACAGTTAGTCGTCAGACAATTCGTCGCATAGACAGTTCGTCGCATGGACAATTCGTCGCATACGTAATTAATTCATATGAATGAACTTATGTCCCTTTTCTTAATTGACTTAAGTGAATTTGTTTTTCAATTAATGAATAAATATTGATTTTTGAATAACTGTGTTATCATTCGAAAGCCAAATCCAATTTTCTAATACGATTTTGAGAAGATTGAGAAAAATCAATTAATCTAAAGATTTAATACAAAAAATTCCAAAAACAGAATAATGTCACTCAAAATAGATAGAATTATTTTTTTGTTTTTCTGTGTTAATTTTTGTTTCTCTTGAATAAAATTATTTATCATTCATAATTAAGTGACTCTCTATCGATAAAAATTTGTCTTACATACATGTTAATTTTGTTACAATTAATTACGTGTGCGACGAATTGTCCGTGCAACGAATTTTTCATGCGACGAATTGTCCGCGACGAATTGTCCGGCGACGAATTGTCCAGTCACCGTTTTTTTTGTTTTGTGTTCTAGTATTTAAATATTCTCATTTTTTTGTAAATGATTGTTTAACAAAGTCCTTCTATTTACTAATAATACCTTTGAAAATTATACGCTTTTTGTATTAAAATAAATATTTTATTATGTATGGAATATTTGTTTATGGACACATCTCATTCAAACCACTATATAAAGTACTTGAAGATTCCAACGCTAATATGAAAGTTATTCTATAGCTTAGTACTTGAATGTTTTCATATGAAGTTTTAATTGATATATTGAAATAAATAAGATTATTAAAAAAAAACATGTTTTTAGACTTATCGAAAATATATTAAACTGATCTGTTACTCGAATTATTCGTTCTTGTTGGTATTTAGAAAATAATTACTTTAGATATATGACTTAGATTTTTGCATTTACTCATTTTTTCAGTCAATTTTTATTCGCTTTTGTAATTCCATCTCTCAATGGTAAGTTTTGAAACCAATATTTGACTCATAATGATATAATACATAGAACTAATACAATGATTGATATGTTATTTACTATTTACGATTACGCTTTATTTACAAGAACATAGAACTTGGAAAAAATTAATTTGTTCAATTAGTAGCTCAGTATTCAATGAATAGACAATCTATTCAATATTTCGATGAATTTTTGATTAGAAAAGCAATCATCTTATTGTAGTTCTACATATTTATATGAAATTGAATTCCGAATACGCCCTTTTCACCAAAGTCGCATAGAATTCAAACTATTGGCACTTATAGTTTTACTTTATCTTAATCAAATCATCAGTTGTATATGTTGTGAAATTTTTAAAATCTTTCCACAACCGAAATTTTTATTTTAGTTTCATTAATCGATTTATTGAACTTTATCAATTCTTTTTGAATTATAAATTCTAACAAAAGAATGTCTTGAATAGAGGTATCTATTGTTGAAAATTTCAGCCCAGATAAAATCTTGTTTCAGAGTCAAATCCATTATCCAGGGAGTCATTGTTCACGTATGTTTTTTGTTTCCTTGAAAAGTTTCTTACACAAAAATAAGATAAGATTTCTTTACAGTATTGAACATGATTCACATAAATATATTCAATTACATTCATTTTATGGTAAAGAAAACGAAAGTTGGCATTAATAAAATTTGCTTCGTCATAAGATTGGTTGTGTCAGTAACGGGTTTGCAATTAAGACGCATTTTTCTAGTCGTATGTCAATATTTCGACGTTTTTATTATCACTTATAGGATGAACAAATCGTAAGATCCATGTTTCGTAATTACTTGTGTTCGATTGGATTTGGAAAGCATATCATCGTCTGGTCTAATGAAAATTAAATTTGGTTCCACATCGTTATAATTTAATTTTACGTTAACCACAGTTCGTTTATCCATAGAAAGTATGTAGAATGCGATCGTTTAAAAGAATAAAGTGCAAGTTTAGTGATCACATACATACACAATTAGTAAAATGTATTCGAATGATAAGAAAAAGAAAAACTACAGTTAAAAATAATGTTTACATTTATTTATTTTTTCTACCATCAAGTCAAGTGTTTAAAGTAATGCTGTCCGTTATGGAAACAATAAAAATATCGATGTGTGTGCTTTGCGACATTCGTTCTAATTCAATGCTATGTCAAACATGCAAAAATTAAGGATGAATGCAATGAGGTTACGTGCTATGTCGAATTATCCAACATTAGTCTTTGATGAAAATTTGCACTCGGTAGATGAACAAGCAAAAACTTGAGTGTGGGTGTGAGTCAGTATCTTCTCGGTGTCCACGCCGGCACCGATTAACCCACCCTCACATCCTATGTTGGATGTCTTCATTTGATGCAAATCAAATTCTTAAGAGTGATTGGACAAGTACAAGTACTGGATACTTAAAAAATGTACTTTGAACTTTCCTGACGAGGGAGGTGTTTGTATTGTAAATTAAAAACATTAGACATATTCAGATCAAAAGAAAGATCTCACAGCAAAACTAACAAATTTAAAACATTAGCTGCTGTTGACGTGGAAAGATCAAAATATTCAAAATTTCAGGTATTTACAGTCTATGCACGATGCTCACAATCCAATCTTTTAGCAGAACATTTTCTTCTTGATCATTAGATAAAGCTCGTCTAGCTGCATTAGAAAATAGATGTTTCAATTATTTAACAAAGAGATTTAAAAATAAGCTTACGAAAGTCAGGAATTTGGCTCTATTTCTCACAATATTTAA